ATTCTAGATCTAAGCCACACCTTCTCTATGCTATTGCAGTCAGATCTATTTTATGATCTTTTGCTTGGTATTTTAGGTCTTCCTGCAACGGGGTAAACAAAAGGAAAATAGTTGTCCCATGGGAAGGTAGTTGTTAAATCTCATTTTTAGAGGAAAATGGTTTCTACTGCATAGTGAAGGGGAAGAGGATCTAGATATAACTCAAAAGTTATTTTAAATGTCTTTCGAATAAGACTATTCTATAGTAAAAGTACTTTTTATAAATTCACATTGGGCCTGTGTGGCCTAATTGCGTATGCTGACATCCCAGGAGAGAAAGTACCTCTGTTAGCTGCATGGCAGGCCTCACTCCCAGCTTCATGTGTAGCATACAGATTATTACAAGCTGGCCTTTGGCTTCTATAACATTGATATAATCTAGTTCACTCATGAGACTGGAGATGTGTGCAAAGAAAGAATTTTTACATTTTAAAAAGTAAGAGTAGTACCCTCTATGTGTGCACACAGGTGTGTGAACACACACCCAGGTGCCACATGTAACTGGGCATTGTATGAGAATTCAGTAACAAGATCTCTTACAGTCACCTTGCCACCATTTAACAACACTAGCAGATTGGGAAGAAAAATTGGGACTCAAGGTGCCATCAATAAGCCTAATTACTCTGAAGCCCTATTAGTTTAGAAATTCTTGCTATACAAGGTAATTTTATTTTTTAAATAAATTTATCCCTTTGCTTTATTTTGAGTTAGGGTTCTTATGGTTTGTAACCCATACGATAGTGATGTGTTGTTATCATTCATACTTACATTAATTTGATACGTAATTCAAATTATTTTAAAACATTGTTAATTACAAGTCAATTAATTTATCCCCAGATTTACTGATGAGAATTCAATCAGAACAAAAAGAGCTGGTTGGCTATTAGAGCAGTCTGTCACAAATTACAGTTTAATTAGCATCTCTATAAAAATTTTTTACTCAAAAGAGCTAAAATACTCGTGTACAGTGTTAAAACCCCTTTGCCTTGATTAGCAATAGAACCAAAGTACAAACTTATGCCTCTGAGATAGTGGATGCCATCTTCTGTCTATGGAGTTAATGCTTTCACTCAGCTGGTCACAACTAGTCAAGTAATACTAATTTGGAGGCCACTGATTTTGGTGAAAGTAATGTGATACAGATGAATAGCTAGGTCTATCTATCTGTCCTATCACATCTAATCCTTTCAGTCTGAGCCACAAGATGGTTTTATAGTTAAGAAGCCACCTTTATCATGAGTCTTAGGTCGATTTTATTTTGCACCTTATCCTAATACTGTAGCATGACCCCCTGCCCCACCCTGCTCTGACCTTCAAGAGTCACTGTAACCTGTGGTTTAGAACCAGTCCACAGAAAGATGTTTGAGTATTCTAAGTAAAGTATTTTGAATGTTTTAAAGAGAGACAACGTTCTGGTAGTTTATCCATTGATCTTTAATATTCTGTGAGAGATGCTAATTTGCTATCTCGTTGAAGGTGACTTGTTCCGAGTAGCAATTAGCCAAAATTAGTATCTTGACAAACAATGTATTAAGTACTAAAATGAGCATAATTTTTTCTTTGATTTAAACTTTTGTTAGTAGTTTAAGTAAATTCAACTAGAGACTTTATAATGTTGTGATATTTTAAGTCCATTTCACAAAAAAGTCTGTTTTCCTTATATCCTCCCTGATCATTTTGCTACCTCCAAAATGTTTTTCCTTATCTGATATAACTGCAGTTTTGGTGAAACAATATGATTTCCTAGATATAATAATTGAAAGCGCTTGTCTCTCCTATTGACTTTAGCAACTACTACTACCAATGTCACATTGGGTGTCACTGCAAAATATGAGTGCTTTTATCAGAAATCTAAAGGGCAACACTTCCACATTTCTTGGACACTATCATTTATAAGGCACCCATCAATATAATTGCAGCTTTGGACATACAAGAATATGAAGGAACATACTGTTACTACATGCCTTTAACAAACTAATTGTAGTGTACATTTCTCAAAGTCTTCATTGTAAACCATTTTTGACCATTAGCAGTTAAATATGGCATCAGAGTAATATACTACTTTTGAATATTTGGACCGTGACTGACCTTGGAAAATTTATAATTTGAGATATTCAAGTGTATTACAGTTTTATCCATGCTTCATATTGGGTCCTATTCATAAATTTGAGGAGGAGATTGTTTTGGTATTATTTTTCCCCCCTAGTAAAATTGCATAACCCTTAAAAGTTTGTATCTTCTCTTGAAAGTCAGCCAGAAGCTTTGTATAACTTATATAACTTCATATAACTTATATAACTTTGTATAAGCTTATATAACTTCAAATATTCTTTAAAAATATTAAGTATCTCCACCTCTTTGATTAAACTGTGTTTCAGTTTGTTCGTCTATAAAATGAAGCAATAATAATACCTTTAACATGTTGTTGCCGTGAAGATAAGTGCTGTGTTAATATCTTTAATACTTCTAACTCCACACCAGTGTGTACCTAGGTATTTATACTACAGGCACAACAACAGTAACCTAAAATTTGAGAAATCAGATGCTGCTCTAGGCCTTGAAGTTTCTCTGGAACTTGAAGATTGTAGTAACTACTTGACACTAGATAATGGTTTTTCATGTGGAGTATACCAGTTACATAGTTATCTCTAAGCTTTGGTAATACTTGCCTTTAATTGTATTTCGTGACATATGGTAAACAATCTTCACTATCCAATAAACATTGTGTTTCAATTATGCTTCCTATTATAATCTTTTTTGAATACATCTTTAACAGTAATTAGAGGTCCAAAATTATATTCAAATTAAACCATGTGTCTTATCTGAAATGGTGGTAACATGAGCAAATATTTTCATTACATGAATAAATATACATGGATGCAGGCAGTGAAGCTACCATTTAAACCCAAATTTGCTTCTTTTTCTACTCTTAAAGCTTTTCAAAAATTGTTACTTATATCAAAATTGTTTTGGGGATATTAAAATGTTTATAAATGTATGTTAGAATCAAGATATTATGTTAAAATTATATTTTTATTTGTCAGTTAAATCATTATATATGCATGCTGCAAGTGCAGTAGTATGTGATTTTTATGAAGAAGTTCTAAATTAGCTGACATTTTTCATTAAAATATATTAATCATACTTTAACCTAATAGAACTTTATATTGATAATTTGATTATGTTTTCCTTTTCCCACTTTAGAGACAGACTAGAAATAGAATTGGCTTTTCCAAGGCTCTTCTCCAGCTAATAACAACTTCCTCAGTAATAGTTACAATATGATTATTACATTTGTTACTAGTAATGTATAATTTGGAAAGTGTCATGTCTTATTAATCCATCCCAGTCGTTCTATGGCTCTTATAGGAAATATTAGAACTCTCAGATGTGCCGCATTTTCTGTTTGAGGTTATTAAACTAATTGATAGGACTTTTAATTGTTGACTTAAAACTATATAGGTTTCATATTATTTTCCTGACGTCACTGCCTTTTCCCTCTTGGAAAGTAGGCAGAAAAATCTGTCCAATACATCCCCTTCTTATTTCATAGACTTTATTGGAGGGGATTTTCCATATTCAGGTTTTCCTATAAAGACCCTTCCTTTATGTGAAATTTCCTGTTGACATCTCCTAGCTACAAGTAAAGTCAGGCATGCATTTGACTGCAGCTGGCAGTTCCTTAGCATCTACTAATTTCAGTACCAAAAAGTCCTTCATAAATTTGAAATCAGTGGCAAATTAGTGAGATGCTGTCTTAAAATAAAAAAAATAAAAAGGAGCTGGGATGTGGCCCAGCTTTATTGCAGGTTTATTTCTAAGTTCACAAAAATAGATAAATAACCACATGAAGCATTTCTGAGCGATATGCCAAAGGATGCTAAGCAAAGGAGATGGCACTTACATAAGAGACAAAACATTATGGAACTTAGTGTGCATAGTGAAATGAAATCACATTATAAATTCATAGTCTTTCTGGGTGTGGTAACGCACACCTGAAATCCCAGGACTCAGGAAGACTGTTGCAAGTTTGAGACCAACTTGGGTTGCAAAGTGAACTCAAGGCCAGCCTGAACTGTATAGTGAGACCCTGTCTAAAAAAGATGAAAAAAATTGTAGTCTTAAGTTCAGTCATTAAGTAAATCTTCTGTGTTTATTTTATTACAAGTAAAAAAAAAAGGTGTTTGATTTTTGTGTTTGTGAATAAATATCCCCATATAAATTATTCTCAACTGTACAACTTTTGTAGTTTCTCTTTAAATTCTTTAATTTAGTTCTCTGATCAGATAAAATGAATGAGAACTGCTGGCCTTCACAAAATTAATAGATTGCACGTTTACATTAGCAAATATGAAAGCCTATAAGGGGAAAAAAAGAAACGAAAGAGAGAATATGAGAGCAGTCATCTTGATCATTGCTGCTGCTGTGTTCACACAAGACAATGGAACTCTCCCTCTGACCTGCAGAGGATGGACTTCTGCTAGTCAACTGCTTCTATCCAGAAAGTCCAGTTTTCACAACATACTACATCTCTTACTTTTTTATTTCTTTTTACTGCTTAAACCTTATAGTTCAATTAAAATTCCATTTGTTCATTTCACTATGGTTGAAATGTACACGTAAAAACTAATATATATATATATATATATATATGATATATATCTTTTCTCATATTGAAAGAAAAGTTAGAAATACAGATAGAATTATTTTGTTGTATAATTACTTATTGTTAAAATGCAAGGGTTATTTTTTAACATCTTCAAAATATTCTTTTGAAAGTAAAATTAAATGCAGTGTCCAGTTTGCCTTCTATGACGTGATGTTGTATGAACAAGTTTATCATCATGGTACTAGATTTTACATTGTATAAATGGACAAGATGAGCAAAACCAGCTAAATCCTTTTTTTTTTTTTTTTTTTTTTTTTTTTACTTTTTAAAAGCTATTCTTCAAGAGAACAATTTATGGGTATTCTCTGATATGGTAGTTGTTATGTTAGTGATTTCTTTGATACCGACTCTTACACAATATCTCTGCCACTTGTCAGTGCAAATAACCAGTACATTCAGTACCAGTTTGTATTTTTCCCCTTGGTTTTTCATGCCTAATTTTCTAGAATTCACTTTGTCCCAAAATATGTATTTATTTGTTTGGAATTATATGTGGTAGATTTTGCTTCATATTAACTTGAGATGGGGTTAATTCACCTGGACTTCACTTAGATTCTTACTGCTTCTTGCTCCTGCTTTGGTTTATCTATTGGGTTCTCGGTTTTCCTCTACACTGTGGCTAATAGAAATCTTCACTGCTCCACTCAAGGATCCACACAACTTTCTCCTTCTTCTCCCAAAATTGTTTAGTCTTCCTCAGGAGGAGACCAGCATGGGCTCTGTTTTCTGCTTTCTTAATGCATCTGTCTCTAAACCGCTACTGCTCCCCCATCTCCAGTCTTAGAAAACATCGTGCTCTCCAACTGTAGTTCTAGGTTTTTTCCTCTGTTCTCTCTTATTTGCTTTGCTGATCCTGCAATAACATTTTTTCCTGTATGTCAGTCCTGTTCTTCCAGATTTTCTTTCATTTTCTGACATGCAGAGGCAAAAATTAGCTTGAGAAACATTGATTTTTCTCTTTTTGCCCAAGGCTTCCCCTTTATCCTAATAACACAGTTTTGGGAAGTGGGATGTAGTCAGTTTCCTTACCTTGAGCTCATTCCTTAGCTTTCCGAGACTCCGGCTACAATTCTGGAAAGAGACTTCTTAAAAGTCACTACTTACTTTTCTTCTGGTCACCAAATCTGATGTCCTCTTTGTTCCCACTCTAGTCTCCTTGGGCTAGCTGAAAGGAAAGAATATTAGTCATATTTCTTTTGATAGACGTTTTAATGCCTTTACGGTAGCTTTTTAAAATTTTTGCTGATTAGGAAACTGAGGGTCAGAAACTTTGAGTAAGTTGTTTATATTTACATCATCTTTTAATGGTGGAGCCCAGATTTTTAGTCCCTCTTGTAAGAAGTATGGCTTTAAACTCCAATATGTAAGTATGTTTAGCACACTTTGCATCTTTAAATCTTAGACTCTTGGCTCTGGGACATTATTCTACTGTTTGACATAGTCTCTCCTTATGAACCTTTTTATTCAAGATCCTTAACTTATACTTACAATCTTTACTTTTTTTCTATTCCCTAATACTGTTGCCAATTATCTACTGTGACTTTTTAGTTTATCAGCACCTCAAAGTTATCACTCTAAGACCAAACTTATCACTGTGTCCTTAAAATCAACCCTTTTTATAACTTGCCCCTCACAAATCACGTTTTTTTTTTTTTTGTCAGTCGTTTTTCTGTTAAGCTAGAAACATGAATTAATGTTCCCTTTTATTGTCCTTTGGCCTGATAGCCAGCATATTTATCAAGTATATTCATTTCTTTTATGTAGTTTATGGAGTTCTAGTAATGTTTTTTTTTAAATTTGTTATTTCCTTTTTAATTCTGTTTTATCACACATTCATTCCTGAACAAATAAGTAGCCCACTAATTTATTTCTATTATTTCTCTTTATACTATGAGTCCCTCCTTATTCAAGAGAGGGGTTATGTTCCAAGAAACCTAGTGGATTTATAAAACTGTAGCTATTGCTGAAGCTATGCATACTAAGATTTTTTCCTTTGCATACATACTTATGAAAACGTTTAATTTCCAAATTAAACACACAGTTATTAGAAGTGATCACCATAAAATAGAACAATCATAAAAATGCTTTGTAATGAAAGATGTATAAATGTATTCTCTGTCTTAATATCTTCTTGTAATTTCTTTCACCTTTTCATGTAGAAGCATTTTATGGTTTCCTGTTGGCATATCTGAATCGCTTACATTACCATTCTTAAAGCTTTGGGGCCATTCGTAAGTAAAGAACAGAGCACAGATACCACAAAGTTAGATCTTATAACCGAGATGGCTATAAAGTGACTAATGGACACAGCGAAGATACATGTCCTATGGGATGGAGCTGGACAGCAGATTTTATCATACTACTCAGAATGGCGCACAGTTTAAAATATATACATTACTTCTGAAACTTTTCATAGTATTTTTAGATCACAATTGAATGTGCATCGGGACCGGGACTATAACTCAGCAGCACAACACATGAGTTCAATTCCTAGTACAAAAAAAGAAAAATGAATATGCAAAACTGAAAAGATAAGAAAGCAAAACCATGACTGAAGAAAGAAAACTCTACTGTTAAACTGATACCGCAAGATATTGCTTCACCATTTTAAAAAGGCCTACAGAGGACTGCAGGTGCATATAGATAGAGAAAAATTCTTACCGTAAAATTCCATGCTACTTCTACTGCAGCGTAGTTCATTCCTGTTCTCAGACCAACGTTATCTCCCTATTTTCCCTGAATATTACCTGAGCTTTTATTTTATATTGCTTTTATTTAACAGTGTTAACTGCAGGGTTATTCCTCATTGTGCCTCTCACTCAGCCATCTAAACTCTTAGCATTTTCCCCAAACTTTATCCAAAAATTTCTTCCTTTCACTGAACTATTGAAACATTTATTTTTTCATGCACATTTATTTAGACTGTATTCAACTTTCATGCATAGTAGATTTGTCATATGCATATGTTCCAGTTATTTCTGTAAATGTCATATAACCATTATATAGTGTCTTATACTACTGTTACTTATTGAATGTGATATATAGTATTTGTGTTAAATATATTTTAGTGAAGGTATAGGCAATTGGTTTTGTTTTTTAATATACACATATATTTTCCAAGGAAAAATGAGGCCAAATACCTATTTTAATAACAGGCAGCTTTTTTAGAACATCTGTTTTGGCCAATAGTCACATGTCATCTAAGAGCCTATCGTTATGCTGTGTAACCAACCCTCATAGGACTGACATCACCATAATGTGTCTCACAGTGACCTGACAGGGATGTCTTAGAATTCTCTCACAACTGAAAAAGGAACTGTAGTGTGACCGCAACAGCTCAAATGATTCTAAAAGTTAAGCAGAATTGAGTTTTCATAAATTAATTAAAATATATATGAACAAGGGCCGGTGATTTAGCTAACGGCCTTGGTGCCTGCCTGGCTTCCCTTATGTAGCACTCCCCGTTAACTGGCTCGCACCGTTTACCCTCCTTCACGCATCTAGAATAGCGATTCCTAACCTGCAGTCCTTTGCCAGCTTCAGGTGTTTAGTTTGTATTTTTAAAATGCAAACACAAAATCAAAAAATTGTAAGTGATGCATGCACACATTATAGTGCGAAGGAGTTCCACAGAGTTGATATGCAAAGGAATTCCAGGCCCAAAAGATAATTTAAGAACTTTACTTAACACTACATACAATGTCTGCCCCTATTTCCTTAAAACATAGTCGTTAGGATGTCTTAAGGTCTTAATCTTCTTTTTAAATATTGTCTTCTTTTAAAAATATGCTTTAATACCAGTACATTCCTCCTTATATAATGTTATTGATGCACCATTCAGCAATCCCGGGAGGTTCTGACTTCCTTTATCCAGATAGCATCTAGTATGCTTCATAAAATTAGTTACACACATAGTAGATCTTATAATCATGTGAACTATAGCAAGCTGCACCTTTCCTTCTACTGGAAAATATATTTATATTAGTGCAGACTAATACCAATTCTTACAGTTTCCTTGGCCTTGAAAGATAAAATATATGCACAAATAGGCACACACAGGTGAGTGTTTTAATCGTGACTAATTATTACATGCTGTGTGGCCTAGAGATTGCTCTGTATTTTTCTTCTAAATCTTAAAAGCAGAATACTTACACAACTTATTAAATAAACCTGATTATTTAGTAGATCGTATGCTGCAGTATATGTTTATATTTCATTATTACGGAAAAGGGTGATTGCCAGCTTGCTTAGTAGACACAATAATAATTTGGTTCATGCTCTTTCCTATTGTCTTTCCATTACCCTTCACTCTGGTGGCCCTCCTAAAAGTAATCTGTGCCAGAGAAACCTCAGGCTTTCCTCATAAGATGAACAGAGTTGATCTACTTCAGGATTGTTGCCAATTTTCAGGATTTCACTTAAAATTCTTTGTGGATGTGCTTATTCCTATTCAGTATACTTTACTTTAGAGAATTCAGATAGCTTACTTAAATTCTCAAAAACATGTTCCAAAAGGACACAGCCAATGGTATATTTTTACATGAAAGAAATACAAAGATACTTTAGAACTAAATAGGGATCAAGTAATATTAAAATGACATGTGTCACTAGGAATTGTATCCCACTCAGTTCAGTGGCTCACTCAGTGGGTTATTTTGCATAATGTTTAAAAAGTAGATTAGGATTATTTTAAATGGTGATTTAAGTATGAATAAAGAATCTATTAAATATTACTTTACATTTCTTGGTCTTTTAATCGCTTCAGTTAAAATTAAATACTGTAAATAATTCTAAAATATTATTATTCTTTTACGTTGAGAAATTTTGGAAACAAAACTCACTCAACTTTTGCTAAAGCAGATCAATTAAACATACAGTCAACTCTCGGTTATTCAAACTAATGGAGGAAAGGATGGAACAAGCTTTACTATTTCTGTAGTGGCCCTTCCCAACCACATTGCTGAGAGCCTCTTTCCAAGCAATTTTTTGGGCTGTTTTCATCATACTACATTTTCTAATCCTTGTATCCAGGACACAGTGACATGTGGGTTGAGATAATAAGGAAGTCTCACTCCTTTTTTTAGATATACATTTTTTAAATCAATACCTTGTGAAATTTCCTATGTACTACGAAAATTCACATGAAAAATTTAGCATTGCTATTAAGATACTGTTCTTATGTCTCATAAAATTACCATTATGTAAGTCTTATATTTTAATTGCAGTTTATAATTTTAACTTTTCAAAAACATCACTTCTTTCGACCAAAATGCTATTTAAATTTTTTGATGTAAACATTTTAGAAAAAAAGTTTTGAGTCTATAGAAATTCTTCCAAATTTTTAAATTCTAATATGCAGTATTTCTGCATGCTGTGTGTTCGTAGAGAAATGCTGACACGAGGAATTTATGTGTAAAACTTGTGTTGTGTGTATACGATACCTCATTTTCTCCGCCGGTTAGCTGCACACATTGTGCCACTATCCAGACATGGGCATTCATGGGCTGCATGTATCTGGATATCTGCAAGTTGAAATAAACACACCTACCTTTTATTTCAATAACCGCACATTCAAATCCACCCAGGACACTTATTTGAATGTGACTTCCTTATATGTGAGATAGCACTGGTTTCAGTGTTTGACTTTCTTGTTGTGTTTTGTTGTTGCTGATTTCAATCTAAAGTAGATACAAACTGAATAATACTGTCTCTGGAAAACTTTGCATGCAGAGAAAAGGAAATTCAAAGATAAATCCTATGAAAAATATTGAAACTGTTTGTCTTACTATGTTGTGCCTCGGTGTATATTGTAGTTAGATTTTTGTAAAACATAGTAATGCTTAAAGTCAAAGTAGTAAAACCCTTGAGCCAGCCTTGCGTTTGGCCTACTTTACTTTAAGTCATTTAATTTTTTTCAAAATAAAATTGTTAATCTTTCATTTGGAGATTATTTTTTCTCAAAATCATGCATCTAAAACGTGCATCTTAGCTTTAAGTAATCGTGTTTCCTTTTAAACAGGAAATGTTTGTTACAAGGCTTATTTTATAGTCTGTACTGTGGTTCCTTCTCTGTTCTCTCCCAAATTAGGTAGTATTTCTGGAGGTTTTAGTTTTGCTTTGCTTTGCTTTTCTTTGGGGGGGGGGGGGTTTACCGGATTTTGTTGTTGTCCTTGTTGTTGTTGTTTTAGGGAGGTTGCCAGAAATCAAACTCACAACCTTAAGCTTGCCAGGCAGGCACCTTGTGCCACTGAGCTAAGACCCTGGCCCCTAGGCCATATTTCTGTGTAGTTAGTTTTACCTGACATGTGCCAGAAAATTAAATTAAAATTTCTTTAGGAATCTTAACTTTGAATTTCCTACTTTTCATTGCATGTAAATTGTCAAACATAAATAATAGTTTCAGTTCAGGTTCTAGCTTGTATTTTGCATGATAAAACTATAAAAAGTCTAGTGATGCTGAAAAGAATTTATAGCTATAGTTCTGCTATTGTTTTATTGTTACAATTTATGAATAAAGGCTGATTTTATTTACATAGACTTGTCTTTCTATCTTAGGGGGTAAACTACTTCATGTCCAAGGGTATCCTAGATGATTCGCCAAAGGAAATAGCAAAGTTTATCTTCTGTACAAGAACGCTAAATTGGAAAAAACTGAGAATCTACCTTGATGAAAGGTAAAAAAAAAAAAGAAAGCTTAAATTTTTATCAGAAATTAGTTAACACTGCTATAGTTTGTCTATCCCTGCCATAAGCAACTGTTAAAAATTGGAGATTTTGATCATATAATCATGGATTAATTCAGTAAAATCGAAGAATATTGTAATAATGCATAACTATATAATAGAATGCTACTGATTAAAAACAATAAAGAACATATATATAAATATTTTTATAATTGTAAATAACCTAACTGTATGTAAATAAAGATTGTTATCCATGTAGAGATTGTTATCCCTGGGACACTGTGGGGTCATTAAAAAGAGTGTGGTAGATCCATGTGGTAGTGTATACCTATAATCCCCCTACTTAGGGATGCTGAGGCAGGAGGATCATGAGTTTAAGGCCAGCCTTGGCAACATAGCAAGACCCTGTCTCAAAAATGAACAAACAAAAAACTGTGTGTACTATATGAAAAAGCAAAGCCAAATTGTAAAGCAATATATATTATATGTAGGCATTTTTTAAAAATCTGCGTAAATAATTGCTACCTGTATAAATGTGGCTTAATATGAGAGAAGTATTTCTTAACTTTCATAATTTGAAAAACATACGAGTGCTAAAAAAAAGAGCATCCTATGGCTACTGGATTTAGGAAAACAGCTAAAACATTCTTATTACTGAAAATTTTTCTTTATTTCACAAATAGAACTCTTGACTGTACTTTGTTTTGTGTAACCTACTCATGAAAGAGTTGAAATTGTCTTCTAAAAAAATTGTTTTCGAAGTGATTATACTTTTAACATTTAAGGCTATACTTTTATAGGATTGTCTGAGCTGACAATAAACATTTTTATCTAAAAATGACTATTTTTATCATTTTAATAAAGTTAACTAAAGCTGTAATCTTTTCTTTTTCTATAGGAGAGATGTGTTGGATGACCTTGTAACCTTGCATAATTTTAGAAATCAGTTCTTACCAAATGCACTGAGAGAATTTTTTCGTCATATCCATGCCCCTGAAGAGCGTGGAGAATATCTTGAAACTCTTATTACAAAGTTCTCACATAGGTTCTGTGCTTGTAATCCTGATTTAACACGGGAACTTGGCCTTAGTCCTGGTAAGTATGCACACATGTGCACACACATGCACACACACATATATATGTAATACATATATTTTTTTCACATTAGTTCCTGCCCTCTCTCCTGCCATCTCTAGGCAAAAACAAGTCTTCTGTGGGTAAAAATATTTCTACTGTTTAAAAGAACTTCTTGTAACATTGTAGTGGTTACTGCATTTAGGAACACTTGGGTAGACCTTTAGTCACATATAGAATTTACATGTAGTAAATCAACTTTTGGGAAGAAAGTTAGACAAACCTATATAAATTCTTTAACATCATTCTTGAGTGCTGAATATGTTTACTTGTATAATTGAAAACTTGAAAAATTACTTTTAAAACTTCAGTCCACACATTTTATGTAGAACTACTTTTTTTCTGACAAAATGTAATACAATTAGCTCTTACCATGTATAAGTATATGTTTATGTATATATATCAGATATATATTTCCTTGTATGGGTGTATGTGGTCCTGCTTGAGTCTCCTACATACTTTTTCATTTGATGCCACTTTACTTATTTCTTCATAGCAAAAAAAAAAAAAAAAAAAAAATGCACTGTGCCTGTCTTTTTTAAGCAGAGATTGTAAGACATTTACACATCATATGAAATTCATTAAACAGGCTTTACAGGATATAATGTTTAGCTTAACTTTCTTAAGACTGCAGAATTGTAAAATATCAGTAGCATAGTAGTAACAACTATCCTAAAATTTGTTACTATTATAATATTAATCACCTATTTGCCCAAAGTTTATATAGATAAAATTACTTTGGTGAATAGGATTTAAGTCTGGGAATCTTTTCCATATCGATTTACTCTTGAAATTGATGTAAATTCCGTAGACTTTTTAAATAAATCTCAAATGAAAATATTAATAATCTTAAAAACTGTTTACATTTTATTGTAGTGCCAGTTCAGTGTAAATAATGTATTTGAAAGCAAAAAATAAAAGAATATGCTAAAATTTCTAAATCTAAAGTGAACTTTCACTACAAACTCCTAAGCCATTGTAAAATTATTTTAAATTGGAGAAACTACTCACTGAGCTGACATTCATGCTCTATAGTAACTGCCCCACTTTTCCCAGTATTGAAGAATTTTCCAGGATACAAGACTGTCAGTGCTAAATTAGAAAGTTCAGAAACGAGTTGGCTATCCAATGTTTAGTATCAACTAATTTACTATCTTAAAATTATGAACATTTTTACCTGACATAAACACATTTGGAATACCTTTTAAAATAGGTCGCAATTTCAAGCGTTTCTTTTTCCTTCCAGATGCTGTCTATGTACTGTGCTACTCGTTGATTCTACTTTCCATTGACCTCACTAGCCCTCATGTGAAGAATAAAATGTCAAAAAGAGAATTTATTCGAAATACCCGTCGTGCTGCTCAAAACATTAGTGAAGATTTTGTAGGGCACCTTTATGACAACATCTACCTTATTGGCCACGTGGCTGCGTAAAAGCACAATTGCTAGGACTTTAACTTTTTACTTCAGACTAAAGCTATCCAAGGACTCATTAGCAGATGTGAGGTTATAACCGTGTTGGTCATTCTACCCTCTGTATGCAGTCAAGCTTGAGTATACAACTTCTTTTTCTTTCACTATTTTCTTTTTTAATAATTTCTTGGGGGAACTAAATAATTTTGTAGTCTTTTCTTAATTTTGCTTATTATGTTTTGCACAAAGCCGAGCCATTATCTGACCCAGCTGTTAAAGAATCTTAAACTGACATACATTATACGCTATAAAATGGTGTATCTGTGCATTAGATTGGCCTGAAAAACTTTATCCATTTCCATTTTTTAAAATACAATAGATTGTGTACATATTTAACTAAAGAGATTTATAATCATAATTATTTTATTGTAAAGATTTTAACTAAAGTGTTTCCTTTTCTCTCAAACTGAGTTTTGAAATTTATTTGATTCAAATCAGAGAATATCATTGTCTGTAAAACAGAGAACATTGTTGGATCTGACTTCAGATAGAAACCAATACCAGCTTTCATTTGTATGAATTTGAAGACAGTGTTGATTTGTTATCATGTTGCTGTGCAAAACCAGCACTTATTTGTATAATGTAAATTTATCACTTGATTATTTATTTTAAAATCTTCCAGGTTAGTCAAGTCTTGATAAGCCCCTTAAACCACTTAGGATTTTTTTTAAAGTGTGTTCGAATTTTAAAAGAGCAGAATAAAATGGTATTAGAATTATGGTAAATCTTTGCTTGGTTATATCTGAATGAATTAGTCAAGTGACTATTTTCCTAATCTTGATGATCTATGTGCATAATCCACTGAAGGGGATAATATGAATATTAGCGTATACTCTTCATTTATTCATTCAGTACATCTCTATCAAAGGTCTTCTGTGAACTATGCCCTTTGCTGGGTACGGTTGATAGCTAGATATAAACTCTGCATTAACAGATGTTGCATAATTGAGTAATGGGAGGAAAATACTACTAAATGGAAAGCAAATGGATTAATTATATCCTAATTGACAATTAGTTTATAATTAAAATATACCTCATTAGATTAATAGGGAACATGCTTTATATAGTAAGTTAAAACTTACCTATAAATAAAAAGCAAAGCATTGGAGTGATACAGAATGTGATACATAGAACCACTAACTTACAGAAGTGCAGAATCCGGGTGTTCTTCCAAATCTGATTCCAAGTCAACCAGAGATGTTAATATTACAATCATAAAGATAATATGACAGTTTTTTCAATGAAAAAACCTAACATAAATATATTTTTAATGTCAGAAGGATGTTTTAACTAGTAGGAAATAATTTTCAGATTCTGAAGCAAATATCTAAATAATTTTCACATGTGCATAATTTTGAATTTCATGATAAAATTATAATTTTTGTTTGTTTTTTGAGACAGATTCTCTGTATTTTAGGCTGATCTGGAAATCACTATGTAGTTCAGACTAGTGTTCCTCCTGCCTCAGCCTCCCAAGTGCTAGAATTACAGGTGTGTACCACCATACCTGGCAGAGGAAATACAATTTTTTTTAATCTTCAGACTAATTAATTTTCCAACGATTAAAAAATAGCAATAACATTATTTTGAAGCTGGAAATTAACTTGATTGAACTCCTGATTGGAAGCTCTGGCTGGCCTACCATTGGTGGCAGCTCAAATTTCACATCAGTTCTTTAACCAGGGCTTTTTGCTTGGAACCTGTTCTGTGCACGGATGCTCAGAAATAAGCTAGAATTTGGGTCAAAGTTTATGCACAGGGTTTGCATCTCTCTCACTGGTTCTTTACTCAGGATTTCCCTCTGCATTTTAGGGGGTCACTGTCGTTATATCAAACTCTATCCTATAATTCAAGTCAGTAAAACCACAGACTCCACGTGATTCAAACTAGACTCTAAAAACAGAAAGCTCCCCTAATGCTATCCTCTCCTTCCAAGCATTCTCTCCTCCGTTGTATCAGCCTGTTTTGGATTGTTTTTCACTACTTTCAACTGTTTGATTTTTATATTTTGTCCAGAGTTTGTAGTTTTATCTATTGGAGAATTGGTCTGAAAGAGCTTAAACCTCTCCAACTAAGTACTCTCCTTTTGAAGCTAATTGAATAGAGATTTATTCCTGGTTATTTTAAAAACCAGGTAAGTAGAAATGTTTAACAAGTTCTATCAAAATTCATAATAACGAACATAATAATAGTTTAGTAAATTAAGAATTCAGTGTTTCCCAGTGGAGTCCCACTTGCTTTGGGTAAAGAATATTCTTCATTATTGGAAGAATTTATGTAATGGATATACTATTCCATATAAGATAAAGGCATGCCCAATTTTGCCTCCTACAAGCTAGTGGCATCCCCAGTCACTGTGATGCACAACTAATGCCCCACAAATTTGCAGATGTCTGCTGGGGACACAGTTCCCCTTCGGTTTGGAAATGTGCTGTCTTTCAGATTTTACAGTTGTACCTTTCTACAATATAAATCTCTAGATGACACTTTTTCATTGTCTCCTTTTGTTTTATAAAATTAGCCTGGCATATAAGACCTTTTAGAATCTACCTCAGCTTCTCTTTAAAGCTTCATCAATAGCAGTTCTCAACTGTAATCTGTTCTTTGCCTTTTTAAGCTTTTAGTTTACCCTTTTTTCTCATTTTTTATATCTAAATTTCCCCTCCTCACCTGAAATCCATCTCAGATGTCTGTATCAGAGCTCTCAGAGCATGTCAGGCATACCACTAATGTTCATTACTTCTTTCTCCGTAAGCGATGGTACTTTGTACATATCTGCTGTCAATCATTATCATTTTAGACAAATCTGACTTTTTCATCAGATTTGGCCTCATTAAAGTCACCTGACTTGTCAGTTTCTACTTTTAAAGCCTGATTTAGGAAAATGGCGGAGTATATAGAAAGGAAAAATAAATTTCCAAACCCTGAAAAATGACAACGTTCTGTGATTTGGGGAAAAGTTTTCTATTCTGAGCAGCTGCTTGTCCTGTTATCAAGATGTAGCTAGTAGGAGAAACAACAGGTGGAGGAAAATCAAAACAAAAACAGGAATCCAAATTTTAGCATGGTTTGAGATACTCATTTTTTCTTTTTTATTATGAGTCTTCTATAAGATATTGTAATTATTTTGGGGCATTTGACCACATATGTAACACATCTTAATTCTTTTTTTGCCCCTTCCTTTCCCATCCCTCCCTGGTCCCTGCAATTCGTGATACCCTAGTAGCATATTCACTGACTACACCTGGAGAATAGAGCTACAGTTAGAACTACATGGAGCTGGTCGTTAAACTATGTAAGTTAGTACTTAAAGTACACTAAGTGATGCAGAAGGAAACAACTCCTCTAGGGAGAATGTAGAGTAAAAACAAACAGTTGAGAACTAAAGCATTTTAGGTTTCAGTAGAGAAAATGGAGTGGGAAGAGGATTCACCAAAACTGTAGAAGGACTGCAGAATGATGGTATCCCACAAGCTAAAGCAGAAGAGCGTTAGAAAGGATGCCAGGGCTGGGGTGTGGCTCTGGTACAGCACGTGCCTAGCCAGCAAAAGATGCTGAACTTTCCGTGAACTGAGTGAAGTTTTTCCCATCTATATTCAGCCTTCTTGAGTCAACTTTTTTTCACCCAAAGCTGAGTTCTTTGAGGCTAGAAAATCACAATACTTCTAATGGCTTTTATATTGTCACTAGACAAATACTCCCTCACTCAATGTGTAATCTAAGCTCTGCTGAACCCCACAAGGGTGCTTACGCCTGTCTACACCTTCCTTCCCAGTCAGTGTGTTGTTTCAAGCCCAGAATGTTCCCAACTGGTTACCTGTAGTGTGTATTCCTGTAGAATCACCAAGTAGGGTTTCTAAGACCCAAATCATGTTTTGAAAGAGACAAAAAAGGACAGGGAGGAAAAAAAGGAAAGCAAGGAGGCAGGAAGAGAGAGAAAGATAGAAGAGAGAGAGGGAGGATAAGGGAAATAGGTGGGAAGGAGAAGAGTGGAAATGGGAAGGATGAGAAGGGACGGAAAGGAGGGGAGAGGAAGGGAAGGAGGGATCAAGAAAGAGATTCCTAAAGCCTTAGAACTTCCTCCAAATCTGGCATCAATAACAGTTTTGTTGAATAAATTTTGTTGAAACTAACACCATCTGATCTTAGTAAATCATCTGTTTTTAGCCCTTTAGTCTGTTTTCTCTTCTGGAAATCTGTTAACTCCTCCCTCGTGTAATATTGTTTGTCCTCAGATTCTTTTCCTTCCAAGACAGATTTACCGAGTCTTGCAGATGAAAATGCAATTCTTATACCTCCCTTGCTGTCTCATGTGGGCTACTGGCCCAGAGCAGGTTCTTGATAAATTCAAAAACTTGATGAATTTGATATTTAGCTCTGACAAAAGAATTATTTTGGCTGTAATTCAGTTTCTATATAAACATTTAGACAGGTGACTTTACTATTTCTGGATTTTCAAAATATACTCAGATATGTCAGTTGCCCACAATTTACAAACCAGAATGTATTAGTTAACTTTTAATAGTATTAAAATGAGTTCAGCCTTTGTATTATTCTACATACAAATTTACCTTTCCAGGAATGCTAATTTTAAACACCTGGATGAATCATTGCTACTTTGTCTACTATTTTTAACTTTCAGAATAGGTAATTGATCTTGTCACTTGTTTTAAATTTTAGCAATATTATGAATGTCATTGATTATGGTGTTCAGTAACAGTAAGCTTATTCATAAATCCTCATGTGTCAAATACTGATGTATTCATTCAGATTAGAATATTTTCCATTGCCGAAGAGAACTTTTTCTTAAATAAAACTGTTAATTCAACTTCCTACTATTAACAAAACTGCATGCTCCATTCAAGCATTCATTAGTGAATGTATTCTAGAATGCCATCATAAGTGAATAATCGAATACAAGAAAAGGGAGTATGCACATCTTTTATCACATTGTTTTTGAAGAAAAAAATAAATGGAAATACCTAGATGCCTAAAACTTTAGGGATGTTCTAAAGGCCAACAAATACTGTATTTGAGTATGTACTATGTATCACATGCTATACTAGAACTGGCCAAAAAGAACAAAATATATTCTCATGACCTATGAGATACAACACTGGAAAACATTTATTATAGATACATATTTATGGAAATTACAAACATGTACACATGTAATTATAATTACCATTCAAAACAAAGAATAAACTTATGGGTGGGAAGAAGAGACTAATAAAATATACCAAAATTTTACAATTGATTTTTTAATTTTCTTCAAAATCTTTCTAAGGATGATATATCTTACCATAATAAATGTATTGAATTATTGAAAAAAGAACGATGACAATGTCTCTAATGTACTTGGTACACTTTCTACTCAGAATGTTTTTTTATAGATTTTTATTAAAAAATTGTTTTATTTTTAAAAGGCATTTGGTTAAACTGCTAATTCATATTTAGACAAATGCTTTGTTTCCAAGCTTAGAAAAATCAGATTGTTTAACTTTGTTTTTGCCTAATTGAATTAAAGTCCAGCAAGAAAAAGATACCAAGTCTTTACTGAAGTAATTTTCATTTGTTTAGGGAAAAGAAAAGGAAAGCTTTCTTCTTGGCATGGTCAGGCTAGAAGGTTGGAATTAATTTAAAATGATTAATGAGATTTTGTCAGACTCCTTGACTTTACCACCACTGCAGTTTGTCAGGGCAGCAACCTGGGAAGCCCGGACGC